AAAACATTTGGTGAAATGCTTCAAGACACTTCAGACACTGCTTAATATTCAGTCCCCAGAGTATGTCCATGAAAAGTTCTCGCCTGCATTCTCAACACCTTTCCTTTGCAAACATTAGGAGAGAAGAGATGAAAATGGACAAGGCTAAAAATGAACACCCTCTACACCACCCTTCATAGCAAACTGGCTTTCTATGCATTAACATCCAACCCTATACCCATCATCACAGTCAGGAGGGGCATGCAAAGGTTATAACAATTAACATACTTCATTTTTCTAACTTTTGAGCCAAAAAAACTTGAGCCAAGTTATAAAAAAGTAAGCCTCTATTTGGATTACAGGGCCCAATTCCAAAACTAAAGAATTAGCCTTTCTGGAGAGTTGTGTATTATTTGTACCTTAATCAAATACAGATAAATCTTTGAAAGGCTCTCTTTTTATTGGGCTACTTTTGTGCCACAAGTGTGTTAGTTCATACTCTAATTTTTATTCTCATCTGTGAAATCCTAACCCAAGGACAAATGTATGGCTTTCTTATCAACCACATTTTACTAAAACTGCTCAAGCCTTTATATTAATGTGATAAATTCTGTTTTAAGATCAAGCAGAAAATTCAGACCCTCATTTCTAATAAACAGCCACACATGAGGCCACTTTGTTAAGTTTTCTAAACACCTGCACAAAACACAGCTGCGTCCAAAGTACCTACAGCCTAATGTTTAAAGAGACTACTTACTGATTCATAAATAATAGTTGCATTTTCAAGGTGATAATTTAGCCAGAAAGGCAGCATTTCATTTATACATTCAACAAATAAGTACAGAGTTACAAGGTTGCGCAAGGCCTGTGTGACAATGCATATAAACATACTCCTCTCCTTAGAGACATGTACGTTATGATACGATAGTCAAGATTTTTCCCACCACAAGACCTCCTCCATAGACAGAACAGAGGTTACTACACATTCTTCTAGGGGCTTTGCAATCTCATTCTACACATCCTAAAGGAGTAGAGCTGACAAGATGGATTCCCAGGCTTCTGTCCCTCCTCCCTTTCTTCTCTCTCTCCAGTGTTTGTCCACCTCTGTTTATTTCCTCCTCCTTCCCCTGCTTCCTCCTCCTGGCCCTGCCTGTGAAATACAGACCTTGATATCTTCTCTTTATCCCCCAAAATCACATCATTCTCAGTTTTATCATCTCTTTTGGAAAAAATCCCCAAGTTTAAGAACTTCAAGTCTATGTGGTATCTCTTAAATTCCTGGGGCGCCTGGGTGGCTCAGTCAGTTAAGCGTCCGACTTTGGCTCAGGTCATGATCTCACGGTCTGTGAGTTCAAGCCCCGCGTCCGGCTCTGTGCTGACAGCTCAGAGCCTGGAGCCTGTTTCGGATTCTGTGTCTCCCTCTCTCTCTGACCCTCCCCCACTCATGCTCTGTCTCTCTCTGTCTCAAAAATAAATAAACATTAAAAAAAAAAAAATTCCTTAAATTCAACCTGACCAAAATGGAATGCCTGATCTCCCCACTAAAGCCGATTCTTCTGCCCTACTTCTTGTTCAGTTAATGGTCCCAGCAGGCTCACCAGGACCCAGGCTGTCTTAAGGCCTTCTTCACCTCCTCTTTTTCCTCAGCACCCCTCAACCCACCCACCTGATCTACTGCCAGTCACATGGATTCAGATCCCTTCTTTCTATCACCATTGCTACCAATCCTCATCTAGGCACTTATTTCTTCCCCTTGAACGTTCCAGAATTTTTCTAAGTGGGCTTCTACTTCCACCCTAACTCGTTTTAAGGATGCTATCCTATTAACTTTTTTTTTTTATTCTTTTAATGTTTATTTATTTTTGAGAGAGAAGAGACAGACAGAGTGCGAGCAGGAGAGGGACAGAGAGAGAGGGAGACACAGAATCTGAAGCAAGCTCCAGGCTCTGAGTTGTCAGCACAGAGCCCGATGCAGGGTTCAAACTCAGGAAGGGTGAGATCATGACCTGAGCCAAAGTCGGACACCTAACCGACTGAGCCCCCAGGCGCCCCAATCCTACTAACTTTTTGAGAGAAGACAGATGTACTCCAGAACCAGAGGGCTCAGTTTCAAATTCCAGCTCTGCTATATCTTAACTCTGTGACCGTGGGCAAGTTCCCTAACCTCTCTGTACACTACTCTCATCATCTCTGCACGCTAAGGATAATAGTACCAGCCTCACAGAATTGTTGTGAAAATAAAATGAATTAATAATTAAGCATTGTGGGGCACCTAGAACAGCAACTAGCATGCATTTAAACACTCAATAAATGTTTACCACTATTTGCAATTAGCCCAGATCCAGTTATACCATGGACTGGCCCAAAACCCACAGAAGGGTCCAATGGTATACAAGGAAACTGCAGATCCCCACCCTGGCATTCAATCTGCACCCCATTGACCTTTTGACTTCATACTGCATACCCCCCTTGGACCTGCATACACACCAGGCTAATTGGGGGACTCCCTATTCCCTGAATCCATTCTGGAGCCTCCCTCCTCATCCTTGCTGTTCTTGCTTCTGGGATCTCTCCTCTCACATCTCTGCCAGATAAAACCCTGGCTGTTCTTCAAACCAATTGTAACTCCTCCACGAAGCCTTTTCTAAACGTGGCAATCAAATGTGCTCTCACCTGCCTGGGAACTCTTCTTAGTACAGGGGCTATGTTAACCTAAAGTCAGTTCTCTTTCTATCCCTTTGACTGCACTGCTGTCATCCTCCCTACAGGCGTGCGGCTCCTCGAAGGTATTATGTGCATCCATCACCGCTGTATCCTCTCCAGCATCTAGCATGTGTAATATGTTGGGATAACAAAAAAAGAGGGAATGATGGCTAATCAGAACCACAGCCACTGCACTGGCACGGTAGCTGGGCACGTCCAAACTGAAAGAGGTATATGCTCTGCCCAGGCCAGAGTCCTCTTTATAGTTTGAAATGACATCAAAACTCACAATATAATTAGAATGGTCTCTCCAACAAGTCTTTCTTTACAAGACACCGGAAACACAGGTGAATAAATACAAGAGGAATGTGGGGACGCCTGGGTGGCTCAGTCGGTGAAGCGTCCGACTTTGGCTCAGGTCATAATCTCATGGTTTGTGAGTTCGAGCCCCACATTGGGCTCTGTGCTGACAGCTCAGGGCCTGGAGACTGCTTTGGATTCTGTGTCTCCCTCTCTCTCTGCTCCTCCCCTGCTCATGCTCTCTCTCTCTCTCTCAAAATAAACATCTATCAAAAAAAATTGTTTTAAATACAAGAGGAATGTTATTTGTAGCCCTATCCTAAAATACCAACCTTAAAATGCACAAAAAAAATGTTCTTCATATATCAATACTACAATCAAAAAACCACTGAGCGCTGCGTTCGGTGGCTACGTGTAATTTTCTGCTAGAACTATACCATTTAGCAATCTCTAAAGAAGCAATTCAGACCTCAATGACTGAAGCTTGTTCCATGACATCCGAACAACCTCTGGCCCATCAGCCACTGCAGAGTGGAACATAATGGCACATACACAGTCCCTACTGTCAGACTCACAAGAGTCAGGTCCCCAAACCTGAAACTCACTAAAAGAAAGCAACAAAAATGCACACTCCCAACAATATAGTGAACACTCAATAAACACTGCTAGCAGTGACATCAGCCAGGTACACGGGGTAGGGTCGGGGGAGCAGGCCACACATTACTCTGTTCCGTCTAGGAGCATGGCTGCAATCTGACACCAGGGATTTAGACCTCCTCCCAGCAGCATTTATATGCAGCAGCAAAGGGCTCTTTCATTCCCACTTTGACTTCAGCCATTCAAGAAGCATCCTGCCCCCAGTACCACTAAGAGAAATGTCCTGAAGACATCAGTTTCAAGAATCCCTAAGATGAAGTGACAATTAAAGATGGTTTGCCCTCAAATAAAAGATACACTCTTCGAAGTCGAGAATACTCTCACTCTTCAAATGCCTTGGTGGTACCCACAAATTAGGCAGAACCGCCAAAATCCCTTTTAACAGGACAAGTCCTGGGAAGCTTATGAGGGTCACTATGGTTCATTTAACTATGTTCATTTAATTGCATGTTTGGTTTAACAACAAGAGAGTAAAGTTAAATGTTTAAGTTAGAATATATTGGACTACTGTGAAACACCAGTTCTTTTTAATGAGAGCGTAATCAAGTCAATTCAGCCTTCTTATTCCTTATTATCTGTTGCTTTTATTGAACAGAGATTTATCTCTCTTCAATTAAATTTTTGTTACCCTTGAAGTATTAAGATATTTTTTCCTGTAAACTATTGGTCTTTCACAAACAACAGTTCCCTATTCTTATTTTACACTCTCAAATCCTAATTCCCATAGAAGAAGCAAAGTAACCAAAGAAAGTAAATCAGCACTCCTATACCACTTCCTCAAAGACAAAGAAAGTACTACTCTGAAGCTTGGGGCAACCAAATAAAATAACTCAGTAATTTCTTGTACAGGTAAAATCTTACTCATAGATATGACTTAGGTACAGCTACCTCCAGCTAAACAGGTCCCATTTTCCAAAAATGAGCCGCAGAAACGAAAACATCCTGAGAGACAACAGGAGCCTTGTGAACTGTAAAGCTGAAGCACCTGTAATACACACGCTTCCCTATACTCTGTGGGTGCTCCATAAATACTGGGTGGCTGATTCACAAGCCAATTAGAGAGTCTGGCAAGGACAGTGTCTCCCTGGTCCTACTCTGGGGAGTGTTAGGTATCTAGGGTTGCAGTTTGTGGTGGCAGTAGGAAGAGCTAATATAGACAGAGGTCTAAAAGGACTGGGGTGTCGACAGGTTCAAATGATGTTAACTTGCTCTGCACTTCTCCTCAGGCATCTGAGTCTTCCGGAAAATGGTATTCTTACTTGCACCATTGGGGGAAACTGAATAAACCTGCCAGAGAGGCACACCTCACCAAAGAGCCAACAAGCTAAACGGTTGAGGGGGGAAAAGAAATAGAAACTTACTTTTCATAGACCAGCTCCTCATCGATGGAGAAATAGTGGGTATTTACTGTGCTTTTTGGTCTATTCCTTAAAGTAGCAAAATATAACCGATCTGAAAGACAAGTTTAAAAGATGGGAGAAAACATATGAGAAGTAGGGAAGCTGAACGTGGGCAGGGGTGGTGGTAACACAGGAAAGATCAAACTAATAACTGCTACCCATTATTTAAAGATTCTATTAACACGTGGAATTCTTGCAGAAACCTGATCTCTCCCAGAAACCCAGAGACTCAAGAGCACAACGGAGAGGCGTGGAGGGGACCTGACTGAGAGACTCCGTTGGGGCAGTTCCCATATCTCCCCTGTTCCAGGCGAACGGGCGCAGATAGAAGCTGGGGGTACCCATAGAACTGAAGATGCAAGTTTGGTTCAGAAATCTCCAGACCTCAGCCACTGCAGAAGGGGAAGAGAGAGGCGAGCCTGCAGCATCGAAGACTTCAAGAAGAGGAAAGGATTAAGAGACAGGGAGGTGTGATGCGGGGGCGGGGGGGGGTGAGGAAGGGGGTGTCCCGAAAACCGAGCGGGATAAAGGAGACTAAAAAAAAAATCACCCAGAGCGGGATCTCCACCAGCCCCTGCGTGCAAAAGTCCGGCGGAACCCCGCGCTGTCCCACTACTGGGCAGGGAGGCCATCCGAGGGAGCTGCAGAGGGAACCTGGGACGCAAGAAAGACAGAGAAGCCGGAAGCAGGGGGTCCTCTGGGAGAGGACAGTAGCGAGAGGAGACGAGAGCGCGCGCAGACGCTGCAGGACACTGGGGGCCCCAAGAGAAGCCGGAGGCGGCGGTTGGGGACATAGGGCTAGAAGTGAAGAGTTGGGGGTGAGGTAGGGTTGGAGGATGTGGGGCGGCTGCTCCTCACCTTTCATGAACTCGCAAGCCCCGATTAGTTCCCCTGACTCCGCTGCCATCTTAAGCAAGATACGCACGGGGGAGGGCTGGGTCGTGGACAGCTGAGGTCACCCGCCCCCGGGGGCTTCCCCACTGCCCAGGAGCCGGGAAGCTTGCAGTCCCGAACACCGCGCCCGCCGGAGAGAGGCAGCAGGCGCCGAAGGCGGAGGCGGCTGGGGGGTCAGCGCGCCGGGCGCCCCGGGGACATTCCGTGGGGAACCCGAGCCCGCTCCGCGCGGGGCGCACACGCCCCAGGCTGTGGCCGCTCCGATTCGGACCCGGCTGCTGCGGCTGCTCCGCCGCCGCCGCCGCGCCTGGAAAACGCAGACCAGCTCTCACGGCAGGGCAAAGTCTTCCCCCCGCTCCCAAAGTGATCATGGAGGAGACGTCTGCCCCGATCGCGCCGGTGGCTACTCGTGCGGCAGCGGGCAGGACTCCGGTGCCCGCGGGCTGGCAGCAGCTGCTCCGGCTCCTCCTTCGCCACCTCCTTTCAGCAGCAACTCTTCCTCCTCCTCCTCCCCCTAGGTCCGCCCTCAGACCTTCCTCCCCGCCCTCCCCCGGCCCCCTCCACTTTCACGGCTCCGCGGCCATCCCTTAAAGGGACAGCCCCGCTCCTTTCTCGGCGCCGACCCCGCGCCCCAGTTACCAGGCGGCCCGCCTGTCTCTAGGAGCCAGTTGCTAAGGCTTTGTTGCCGTCCACCAATTGCTGTACAGGAAACGGGGCCCTGGGCCCAGGGGAGCCGGGCGGGGCCTCCAGACTAGAAACTTATGAATGAAACGGTGGAGTAGGGAGTAGGTAGGGAAGGGCGCTTTTGCGGCTTCCCAGGCAAGGATGCGCCGGCCCCCCTTCCTTTTCTGCACTAAGTCTTCTCCCACTCCAGATTTTTCTTCTCTGTCTCTCTTGCGCGCCCCATCACCCACATTCTCTTAAACTCTTGCGCGCGCGCGCACACACGCACACAGACACTTTAAAGACCTCAGAGCTCCGCGCTCCGCCTCCTATATATAGCAAATCTTTGTAGCAACCCTAGCCCCCCATCCCTGACGGATCTCCACCTTTATAAAAAATAAAATTAAAAAAGCGCTACCTCCTAGCTCAAAAGAACATGTACCGGTTTCCTCTACACATACTGGACTTTGAAATAACTTGTGCTTTGTTCTCACTGGGGAAAACATTCCCATCCGGTCCCCCACGTCCTCTCATTTGGACTGTCACTGTGACCGCAAAATCATCACAAATGCCTCACCTTTATTTTGCTCTAGTCGAGGAGGGGGGCGGGGAAGCGAAGCCAGCCGGGGCGGGAGAGGGGTGGAGCGGGGAGGGAACTAGCGACACACGAGAGGGCCACTCGTCCACGGGGGAAATTAACACAAAAGAATCTCTTTACGTGTTAGCTGAAGTGCTGCAGGGAGTGGTTCGTCCCAAAAAGCCCTTGTCTTGTTTCTATGAGGCTCCTCACACTGTTTGAACAACTTTAATACTGGGTACCCTACAGACGTGCCTAATTAAAGCCTTCGGTATGAAAATGGCGCTACAGATCCACCATCGTAAGAGCATGCGCTCTGTGTGGTTTCTCAGAAACTGAAAGGGATTTGCGCCCGCCTTTGGGAGAAAGGGGGCGCACAAGTGAAGAGCTGCCGGGCGGACTTTGAAGGAGCGTAGTGAGGCCAGCGAGTAAAACTCAACTCCCTGGTCTTAGACCGTTAATCAGCTTTGCCGATTCTCCAAAAAGCTAAATAGGAACAAAAATAAATATGAAGTGCTTTTGGAAACCTGAATGGTTTGATTTTTTTGTTGTTGCTCTCATAAATTATATGTCTGTGTGTGTATATTTCTTAGCTATTCAGAAAAAAGAGAACACGTCAGTAATTCTAATCAAACACGTCCTTGTAAGAGAGTAAAAAAAAAACCCTAACATCCAAATCTTTAAGGACAGAACCATATAAATTTAAAGCTGGAAGAATCATTAACCAGTACTTACTATAACCTATGCCTATACAGCATCATCTGTACCCTAATCTTCACATGAGGAAAAAATACCTCAAAAGAGTTTTTTAAAACTGTAAAAGTCCTGAAAGGTGAATTGTAATGTTCTTCAGTGTTGAGATGCATTTCATGTTTTATAGTCCACTGGTCATGGCTGTGGAGTTCTAAAGGAGAAGACATCTCTCAAACATGTCCGCAGTCATAGAGTTACTTGAATTTTGCCTGATATTCTCCCAGTCTTGGTGTCAACAATCATGTTGGCCAAATCAAATTATTTTACTGAAAATTTCTAACAGGTTTTATATGTGAAAGATAGAAAAGCAAAGCAAATGAATGTCTCAATAAACTTACCCCCTTTGTTTCGAAGTCTGAATTCAATGATGGCAATCTGTTTCCAAATTCGCCGATTTAAATTTGGGTAGAATCTAAATTCACTTGCAAATTTCCTAACAACTTTTCATCCCAGTGTTGTGTTAGAAAAATTACATGAGAAAAAGAAGCCCACGTTCTCATTCAACACATAAACTTTTAATTTCACAAATAGTCTAAATGAACTCTAAACCTGTATTTTCAGAGACAGTAGCTTCAACTGAACAAAATAAACATACAAAATATACAAAAAACATTTCTTTCATATAATTCGTTTGTTTAGAAATTTTGGTTATAAAGAAATTTTGGTTATAAAGAAATTTGGTTATAAAGGAATTATGACCTGAATGAAAAGAAATCCTGCAAATTAAGAACTCAAAAAGAAAAAGTTTATTTTTCCTTGTCATATTTACAGTATGTATATTATAATGAAATTTTTGAAGTTAAGACTCTATAAGTAATTTTTTAATGTTGCATGAAAGAAAAATAAGTGATTATCAGTATAATCAAATTTTTCTAAACCAAAATCTACACAATCTAAATGATATAGAAAATTCTACAAGGAAAATTGTAAACAAGCTAGTGCACACACAGCACACATCCATGTCAAGATTCTAATGAGATCATAAAACACTTTATTCTCTCAATTATCATGAGGTCAGTGTTCCTATTGGCTGTAGTTTCATAATAAAGGCATGATTTCAGTCTGTGGAGGAAGATAATGTAAGAAACTTCTTTCCAATCATCCAGCTTAACAGAAGTGGTAGGAAATGACTTTTATTTTAAACAACCATAAAGAAAGTTATTTCACATATAAAGAAAATGCTAAGAGAATTAAGATGTCACTCAATGAAGAAAAGAAAGGTAATGTTAAACATAGACATTTAACAGTTATGTATAGAAATGTCTCAACAACAGTGACTCTGAACATCCCTTGAATCCTGCCTTTCACACCCTGAAAAACAGTCTGCAGACTATGCTTGTGCACACTGGAGCTAGAAAACTCACTGCTGGAGGCAGCTCCAAAATACGATATGGCACCAAAATATGTCTGGTTCTAATTCTGCTCCTTGAGGCCATCCTGAACACCCTTAGTCATTCTTGAACATGACACCTCTTCAAAAATGCAAAGGCAGCTCCCTCAGACCACTTCTTCCCCTTAGTCTTACCCGGATTAAAATCCTCAACCTTTCTTTCAACCTCTTCTTAAATTACATGGCTTCAAGTCTAGTCACGGTCTTCTCCAATCTGTCTATACCCCTCATAAATTTAATGTCCCAGTGGTGACCTAGTGTGACTAGTTCTGAGATTGGAAAAAAGCACTGAGAAAAGATTCAGATGAGAGAAAAGCAATGAAAAATGTAAAAGAACCAAGTTTTATCATTCAGCTGCAATAAAAGGGAAAAATATTCCCTCTTGTTGGAGAAGGGTAAGGAAAAAGTTGGTTAGGCTAATCAAAGACTTGACAACGGTGATATTCACTTATTCTATTCAAAGTATCACTTCTTATTAGAATATATTATTAGAAGATGCTCTTTTAGTTGCTTGTTCAGTCATGATGATGTTATATGAGCAAGTAAAAAATACATAGAATACATATTTTGAATTCTTTCTAAAAATTAATTTTCTGTTTAGTTGTGAAACAAGGAGCAGTAGAAACCTGCCCTTCTGAGTAATTTGAAATTCAAAGTAAGTTGAATTATTGGGGCACCTGGCTGGCTCAGTCAGAAGAGCATGCCACTCTTGATCTCAGGGTTGTGAGTTCAAGCCCCACATTGCATGTAGAGATTACTTTAAAAAAAAATGTTTAAAAAAAAGTAATTTGGGGCCTGTGGGTAGCTCAGTTGGTTAAGCATCCAACTCTTGATATCAGGTCAGGTCATGATCTCACAGTGGTGAGATGGAGCCCCTCGTGGGGTTCTACACTGAGTGTGTGGAGCCTACATGGGACTCTCTCCCTTTCTCTCTCTCCCTCCCCCACTTACGCTCTCTCGTTCTCAAAATAAATAAATAAACTTAAAAAAAAAACTATTAAAATGTGAATTGTTTAAATATTTTGATAATTCCTTGCCTGGTACCAAAAATATTTTAAGGCAATTTTTTATTATATATATAAATTATTACAGTGTAATCAGAATACCAAAAATATGTAGATAATGTAACTAATGAGATAGCTGCCTACAGATGCTAAGATCTTGGCCTAACCCAGCACTGCACTAATCACCAATGCCTGTTTAAGAACTCCAAACCAGAATCAAAGATGGTAAAAACCAGGAAGGACCTGGGAGATCAGCTACTTCCAGTTTTCAAACAGGCTCCATAAGGCTTCAGGTAGCAGAAACCTGACCTGGGGATGGGGGCGGAGAGTGATGGATGAGCACACAGGGCTACTACAAAGTATTTCACTCCTAAAAATGATGTGGTAAATAGAGGAAAGAAAAGAGAAGAAGAAACTGAGGTCCATGGTGGGTAATTAATTTTCTGAAGTCACATAGCTGATTAGTGGTAGAAATAAGACCAGTTACCAACAATCTTTTCTCAATTTTCTCCTAACTTAGCTCATCTTACATTGTTTAGCTCATGGGTTCTTAAACCTTTGAGATAATAAAATATCAAGCAACAATAATGTATATGTATAATATCTTTTCTTCAAATTTTTAGATAAAATATTGAAATAATGTAAACTCAGAATGAAAAAATAAGAGATGTTGCATTATCTGCCATTGCTATTGTTGCCACGTGGTTTCTTTAAAAATCTGAATTATTATTTCCACTATTTATTAATAGTATAACCAATATTCCACAGAATACTGTCACTAACAGTCTGGTCACTAACTGAGAAAGTTAGTGAACATTAAATACAACAATGCAATTTAATAATCATCTTATCTTTGACTAATGCAGCCAGGAAAGAATGACGTAGTTTTAGAAGGTGAAAGAAAGTTCTATGGCCAGGTCAGTATACTTAACAGTGCTCAGTTTATTAGGCAATTTGCTACATTTTTCAAATAGACTGACAACTCAATACAGTTTAAAACTTACAGAATTTATCCATCTACATTTATTTGTCATTTCTACTCTTTTTTTTTTTTTTTTTTGGAGAAGAAATAAAGAAGTAAACTTTTTTTTCTCCAAAAATATATAAAATAATATTCCTTGTGCCACTCCTCACCCCCATC